AAACTTGCAACAATCCTCCTTCCGCAGCCTCCTAAGTGCTGGGGTTGCAGGCGTGAGCCACCACACCCAGCTTGTGTGCCTAATTCTTAACCGTTCTAACAAGACCGTTTCCCAGTAATGAAGATTGGTTAAAACAAGAAGTGAGTGCAGGTTTTGGAGGAAGTGAGTCACGACTGGATGACTTGGAGGTAATCCGTATATGCCCTACGAGGACTTGAATCCCAGCCAGGCACTTCTCAAAGACTTCACCATAAGCTTTTCACATCCTTGAACATTACGGAGGACTCCATACAGCTTTTGCTTACCCATCTCTATCAGCATTTACTCTTACAAATTAAAATTACTGGCCCTGAATCAAGGCCGGCAGCTTCCTGGCTGGAGCCAGCAGAGTTTACTGGGACCCGTGCCATGGTGGGACCTGGAGCATGCGGAAACCAAGCAGTCCCCACCGCGTGGTGAAAGGCTGTGAGCATGGCAGGCTACAGTGGCCAGGACAGGAGCCCCCGGTGTTTACTGGGACCTGAGTCAGGCTGGGATGTGGAGCACTGGGAAACCAAGCAACCCCTCAGCCCCGCCTGTTTTGTTTTGTTGAACTTCAATATGAATGAAAGCTATTTTGAAGAGAACAAGAGACCCTATGATAGCCATTAGTGACTTCACTATTGTCTGGTTTTGAAGACCTAAAACTCCTTCCTCATTCTGTTCGGATCAGTTTTATACTATGTTGTTTGGATGAATTCTCTGTATGCAAAGACATGGACTAGTTGTTGGAACAAAACAAGAGATAATATGATAGATTGTGAAGATCTCAGGTCGTCTAGCTTTGAAATTTATATCTCTTACATTGCTTTCTTATGTCCTATTTTGTTCTGTTTTGTTGTGTTTAATTTTACCCCCTTTAAAATTAAAATTAAAATTAAAAAAATAATAAAAAAAGAAATTAGGAAATTTTTCAATATATACTTATTAATTTATTTGAAATAAAATAAGCCCAATACATGTTAACAAAAAAAAATCACTGCTTATGATTACCCTTTAAAATGAAACATTTAATAAGGAGAGTGATAGTTTCTTTAGGAAATCTATTGGTAGATAATAAGTCAGAATTTATGCTTGTGTATTCTATGAATTGTAATAACACCTACCACATATCTTCTGGGAAATTCCACTTATACTCAAAGGAATAGGGTGAAAAGGGAAATAATGTCTCAGCATTTTCAGGGAATACTTTTGACCTCAAAGATTCCCTGTAACAATCTCAGAGGATCTCAGATAATATCAGGAATCTTCAGTTCACAGAATGACAACCACAATCCTAAGCTTACAATGAAATGATGGAGAGCAGCTCGTCTTCACTAGATTGGTGGAAAGTTTGAAGGTGATGGGGGCCGACCGTTACTGGAAGTTCTGCCTGACTCAGACAGTGAGAGAACTGGGCCTGAGAACCGGGCCTGAGAACTGGGCCTGTCTCCCTGATTTCTTCAGCACGAACTGGAGATAAAAGTAAAATTCAGACTCTTTTTGGCTGCATTTCTATCCATACTCGTAGGAAAAAACTGTGGTACAATTTTACTAGTAGGAAAGAAAAGGCTATTCAATTTTCTGCCTCCTGTGTGTTTCCCATTCAGCCCAACAATTTAGGACTCTCCTGTAGGGAATCTCAAATCATTAGGTTGGGTGCTCAATTGAATTTAAACTGAGAGGTGACACAGATGTAAGACAATGAGCCCTCTTTTCCAGTCTCCAACCCCTCAGTCCTCTGTGGGGTCCTCTTATTGCACACCATGAGTCAACTTTCATATGCAAATGGCCTTTCTTTCAGCTTTCTACAATTTAAAAAATCTTAGTTTTTCTTTTTTTTAGCGAACATACAACATGCAAAATTTGAGTTAGAGACTAGAGGGAGATAAAGGACCTTTAAATCTTTTGTTTCTACAAACACTATAAGTTGTAGCTGTATGCCTCTGGTTTCAACTGACAAAGAGCATAAACAACTATATCTACTATAGTAAACTTACCAGTTATAGAAAACTTACCAGTTTTACACCCACTGTTTCCTCTGTACATATCTGTTAAAATAAATTTTACTAGAATGGAAACATATCCTTTACTGAGGAGCCCATGCTGAGGAAAACTATCAAAATCTTTCTAAATCTTCAATGTTATATGGCAAGAACAGGGGCAGCTCACCAGCAAATTATTAGAAATGCATGTTCTCTAGCCCACCACAGACATGCGAATCAAAACTCTAGGAGTAGTCTGTGATAAACCTTCCAGGTAATTCTGATTCAGTGGCCTAAATAAACTACAAACCATACAATATTTATGGACTAGAAAATCTAATACCATAAAGGTATCAATTCTCCCAAATGCCTATTAACAGATGAATGAGATAACAAAGCATGGTATACATACAATGGGGTATTACTCAACCTTACAAAGGAAGAAAATGCTGACACATGCCACACAAAGATAAACCTTGAGAACATTATGCAACGTGCAGTAGGCCAGGCCTAAACAGATAAATACTGTACAGTGTACTTATATGAGGTACTTAGAGCAGTGAAATTCATGGAGATAGAAAGCAGAATGGTGGTCCCTGAAGACTGGGAACAAGGGAAATAGGAAGTTGTTACTTGATAGATATATGAAGCTTCAGGTTTGCAAGATGAAAAGCTGAAGCAGACTGGTTTTACCACAATGGAAACGTACTTAGCACTACTAAACCACAGACTTTAAAATGCTTAAGATGGTAACTTTTTAAGTTTTAGGTTTTTTACCATGATTAAACATATCAAATGTTTAATTTTAAAAATATTACCAGCCAGTTGCTATATATATATCTTATTTGGATGCTGATTCAAATATATAAATTTAAGAAAACAAAGTACCTTGTGAGACTCTGGAAATTTCAAGAGTAACTATATAAGGACATTAAGTTATTATTGACTACATTTTAGGCATGAATTCCAGGTTCTCTTGCACTCACAGCAATCTTCCTGCCTCAGTCTCCCAAGTGGTAGGATTACAGATGTGTGCCACCACAGCCAGATTGGTGTTGTCTTTTTAAAGTCTCTGTCTTTTAGAAATGAATACTAAAATATTATAGCTAAAATAACTTAATGCCTGTAATTAGCTTTAATGTAGTCAGGGATGAAACTAGGTTTGCCATTGAGTCAATAACTGTTGAAGTTGATTGATGGGTACATTCGAGTTTCTTTTTCCTTTCTCAGATAGATGGACGGACAGACAGACAGACAGACAGAGATAGACAGATTGTGATACTGGAGATCGAATTCAGGGCATTTTTTAACTGAACTACATCCCCAGCCCTTTTACATTTTTAGAGTTTTGCTAAGTCAGTTGGTTGCCCAAGCTGGGCTTGAACATTCAATCCTCCTGCCTCAGCCTGCCAGAGTGCTGAAATTACAGCATGTACCAGGATGGCTGGCATCACTGAATATATATGATAAACAAATACATATATAGATAGATAGAGAGCCAAAAATATATACACACTTGGGCAGAAGAAAAATAGTATTATATTATGCTTTTTCAACAGATGGTGTTAGCCTCATATGGAGAACCTTAGAGGATGTTGTATATTGCAGAAAACTCAATACACTCCTGACCCTTACAGACAAAATTGAAAAAGCATGTGAAACAATCTCAGTGACCAGGGTTATACAAGCAATCATTTGCTGTACTGCTGCATGTCTGGAGGCTCATGGCCAATGCTTTGAGCACCTCCTGTAACTGTAGAGGCCAAAGATAACTTGTATTAATCTCATAATGTCTCAATAAGTTTAGTATTAAAGTATTAAAATACTGAAACTTTTTCTTTTCCTGGAGTGTGTATACATTTTTTGGCGTTCTATATACATGTATTTTTAAAATCCTTATATATTTTATGTATTATACATATTTATATATTTTATATGTATTTTTTGAGTACAGATGGTACATGGTATTACTCTTTTCTATTGGATATACATATAGAAAAGATGCTGCATTTATGTTAATTTGACCGCAGCTTACAACATGCTAGTTTTCAACCTTTTCTGGTAAATTTGTTTTCTTCTGTTAGATACCACGGAACTAAGCAGTTCCTTGCATTTCAATTGCCCAGAAGCCAGAATAAATAGCTGTGTTCCACTGGGCACCACTGGTCCCTGTACACAATCCAGAAATAACACGATGGGTAACTAATGCATATGTCTGTCTGCTGAAAGATATCCTGTAAACCACAAAGTATCAAAACGTGTGAACTGATTATTACCCTGCAAACAGGACAGCCCCGGAGACACTGAGGCTGAGGTTAAGGTTAAATTTACACGTGAAGGAAACAGACAGGCAATGTTTATAAGAAATGGTAGGAAACTGGATACTAAGCACATCATCTCGCTGCTTCAAACCATTGTTCCAAGAGCTTGTTGTTGAAGGAACAATTAGCTATTTCCTGTCATTTATTTCTGTTATGTTTGCATTTTAAAGTACAGCATGATGAAAGATTTTTCTTGCTTTTTCTCTAATGAGCTTTACACATTTGTACTTTTCTATATTCAAGCATTTTTGTTAAAAAAAATAAAGACTATAACCAGTAACATTGTAAACATGTTTCTTATGCTTCAACCTTTTGGAACTATGTTTGAATTGTTTTCAAAAGGCACATTTTCTAAAATTTATCCACATAGACAATTGTTTAAAAAGAAACTTAAGGAAAAAACGTAACCACCGCTTCTTTTAAAGTGTTTTTTTCTCCGTGACCAACATCCCTCTTTGTATCCTGGCCCTTGGTTTTCACAATAGTAGGAAACCAATCCTGGCACATATTTCCTAACAGTACAACATGTCTCTAAATCCAGTAAATCCACCCGAAGTGCAGTGAAAAGATTATTTCACCTTCATTTCTGTTTATTGATGGGAAAATGCTCAAAACAGCGTAAGAGTGCAGAATGGACATATTACTGAAGGACAGAGGTGTTGAGTTCATGTCTCACCTTGATACTAACACACTTGGGTGATGTGGTGAAGATTACTCGACCCCTGGGCTTTGGACTCTTCATTCCACATGGTGGACGTCCCAGCATGTGCTCTTTAAGCCATCTTCCAATTTTAGCATCCTCTGCAACTTGAATTAACGATGCAACTAAGAACTGGTGTTGACATAAGCTTTATAGGTAACTCAAAACTAATGTCTTCTAGTACAGGCATTTGTCTACTTTTTCATTCTTTTACCCAATTTAAGTTAAAAATAACAACCAGGACTACAAGAAACAATCAACAGTAAGAAACAAAATGGAAAACATACAAAACTTTTTATTAAATCTATGAGAATGGAGAACTTTCTGTACTTTTTGTTCATATGCCTAAATGAATTGCTTGGCTAAATATGAAATAAAACCTCTCAAGCATTTTACATTTTTTCATGCCTATCAAGAATGTTCCTAACTCACTAGTTAAAATGTCTTCTTTTACATCAGACCCACAACATTCAGGAAAGAAATGAATGTTAGGATTTTGGACTTAGAAAACCTCAAAACTGTTTAGATTTAAAGATTAAAAGTGGCCTGTGTCTCTATCTCCTTTGTTATAAAGTGATAATACAATAGCTCTCTCACAGGTCCTTGTGAAAATAAGTACAAAATATTGTAAAAGCAACCGCTACGTATCAAGTACTCACATTATATTTTCTTCCTCACTTTCCAAAATCACAAAAGTAACAGCCACCCACAAAATACTAGTTAACCAAAAGATTTACTGGATGACACTTAAACATCAACACAAGTCTAGTAAGGAAAAGAAAGATGGAAGTTTCAAGACTAACCAATCAAAGCAGAAAAAAGATGCGAAAAGAAATCCATCAAATGCAAGCAGAAGTCGTTTTTGGATTGTGGGAATACATGTGGCTTTTATTTTTTCTTTGTTGCTAACTATATTTTCTAATTTTCCTACAATGAATATCATATTTATAATTAAGAAGTTTAAATAAATTATATAAGCCTACATAATTATGTAAACCCAATAGTTAAGCTGACCATCACTTCTTAATAATGTGATGCAATAGAAAGATTTAAGCACAGCCAATGACGTATTCTTGCTAACAAGTAAATAAATAAATAACTCAAATCGATTCTCTCCTACAGCTCTAACTATCTTTATCAAAGCTGCAGAGGATATGGGAACATTAAAAGGACAACATGAGAATTCAATCAGAACAATCCATGAATGGTCAGAAAGGGGAGGAGGGTGGAGTTCAGTGGTACAGAATATATTTAGTATTCTACGAGGTCTTGAGTTCAAATAAATAAATAAATAGGGAACTCATAGTTTTTTTATTTTAAAGAAAATAAAATCAAGCAAAATAAAACAGAACAAAGCCAATCAAAACAAACCAGTGTAAGTGACACAGGACTTCAAAATACGAAGTCAACAAAGGTTACCATAATGCCTTGTCTTCAAAATAGCTGCAGACATAGTTTAAAAAAAAAAAAAGAATAGAATAGAATAGAACCAATAAAAACAAAACAATGAATGTAATATAAGACTTCAGAACAAGACAAAAGGAAATCCAAAATGGCAACCATAATGTATCTTATCTTCAAAATAGCTGCCCATGCCATCGTATATAACAAAAATCAAACAAAACAGAATAAAACCCAATGCAACAAAACAATGAAAATGATACAGGACTTCAAAACAAGACAACAGGGAATCAACAATGGCCACCATCTCCAGGAGAGCCCCCATGGATGCTACGCTGCCTCCTGTGAGCCTCTGAACAGATGATCAGACCACCAGCCCTAGACCGGCAAAGTCAGTGAAACACCAAACACCACAAGCATCAAACTGCATTTCACCTCAGTAGCTATCTTCGCAGCCTGTTTCTCCAAATCAGCCTCTTGGGGTGGGATGAGTGGGTTGGCTCTTCTAGTTTCCCAGCCCATGTGCCAGAAGGAGCTGGGGTTTGGCTGTCCCCCAGTGGTGGCGGACTGAACGTGGCACTTCTTAACTTCTTGTTATCTTCACCAGGAAACTAATAGATTAAAACTGTTTTTTTTTTCTTTCTGAGACAGGATCTTGCTATGCAGTTCAGTCTAGCATTGAACTCACTTTGTAGCCCAGGCTGGTCTTGAACTTGCAACAATCCTCCTACCTCTGCCTCCCAAGTGCTGGGATTGCAGGCATGAGCCACCATGCCTGTCTGGCTAGATTAAAACATTTAATGCAAGGGCTGGGGATTTAGCTCAGCAGCGTAAGTGCCTGCCCGGCAAGCATGAGGTCATGAGTTCAATCCCTGGAACCACAAAACAAAACAACACATTATGTGCACAATGCTTAGATTCCAATTTAAATAAAACAAAACAAAAAAGAGTCATTTTTAAACCAAGAAAATCTGAACGCAGATTTAGGTGTGATCAGATTATAAGAACTATTAATTTTGTTCAGCAATATTGGGATTGTATAGGTGGTATATGCCTACAATCCTAGCTACGCAGGAGGTAAAGGCAAGAGAATCAAAAGTTCAAGACAAGCATGAGTTAGACTGGTTTAAAATAAAATTTAGAAAAGGAGAGAGGTTTATAGGTGGTACAGCTCTTGCTAAGCAAGATCAGACCCTGGGTTTAATTCTCAGTAGGAAAGAGAGCCAGGATATTGCCACAATCATGGGTGAATGATAGATAGAGTTTGCTTGAAATACTCCAGCAGAAATAAAAATAAAGAGATGCAAGGCTTGGGTGGTGGTGCATGCCTATAATCTCAGTAGGTGGGAGCCTGAGGTGGGAGACTCATCACAGTTCAAGTGAGCTCACAGACAGCCTGAACTAAACCAAGTGAGACCCTGCCTAAAAACAAAAACAACAAATTTTAAAAGATGATTGTGATCTCTACAAAAAGCAGTGGTTGCTGAGTGAAACTGCCCTTGATCCTGACCCCTTGCGGCTGTGCCCTTTGCCTGTCCTGTGCTGTGATGACAAACCACTGGCCCACATAAACGGTACCTCCCGACCTGGCAGGGTGGGTCTCAGTGTGGCTGGGTGGGTCAGTAAAACACAATTGCCTTCCAAAGTCATTGCCAGGAATTTGGATTTTTAGCACTTGTTCCAGAAAGCTCAAGGCTTCTAAGTGACATGACTCACAGGAGAAAGGAACTGTTGTTTTCTGGTGAAGGACTGATTTTTTGAGAGATAACAGGTCAACAGGTCACAACTTATCTTAAGTTTGTTGTTTTAAGTGAACTCAATTGACAAAATGATCAACACTGAGTCAAGAAGTTTATTTTAGGCCTGTTACCTTGTGTCTTCGTGAGAAGTTGGCTGTTGTTTTTCTTAACGTCAGTTTGCACCCTCCCATAACTTTTGTTTTAAATTCTTCCAGTCTGCAGACACATTTGTTTGTTTGTTTTTTGAGATGGGGTTTCACTACATAGTTCGTACTAGCCTTAACTATGTAGCCTAGGCTAACTTTAAACTCCGTCTGCTTCAGCCTCCTGACTAGTGAGTGGGATTATAGGCATCTGTACCTATTTCTACACATCCGTATGGCTTTGTGATCAACCATCTGGCATTCTCCATCCCTTGCCGAACTCTGCATACTTAAAGAGTTGACCTCTACTAGATTTGTTTAATGTAGCAAAGCCCTTCACAGCACCCACATAAATTTCTGACTTTGCAGATTCTGTCTTCATGTATACTTGGCTACTTAAAAAGCCAATTAGTCTGTTTTCTCTGTTTATTATTTCTAACCAGAATGTACTGAGTGGCACACCCTTATGCTTGGAAGAACCATATTTATAATCATGCTGTTTTAAATATCTGGGGAAGACAAATCAGATATACATGATTCACAACTCTCCCAGCCTGAGCTGTATGCCTGACTCCAAAATGAGTAGACAAAATGTGCTATTATGAATCAAAATTCCAGCCAAAACCTGATGTAATGTGCTAGTTGTTACAAAGTGAGATAATTTTAAAATGGTATTATCAGTGAACATCTTTTCTTCCACTGGAAGCAAGTGACTTGCAGAAAAAGATACCCACCATTATTATTCTTTCAACCAATACCCGGCAGATAGCTAGAATTTGCAAGCAAGCTCTTTTAGATCAGAGCTTAATGCTATAATCTGCATCTGTGGGTCTCACTACATGTTACTTACTGGCCATCAGGAAATTGGATTTTCTGGATTATCTATTAGAAAATACTTTACCATAGTGCCAATGTGGACTTAAAAAATAGAGTTCAAATTATGTTTTTGAAGTCAGTATTTGATAGACTAGACATTTAAAGTTATTTGTTGGAATGACTAAATGAGAAAAAATTTTCAATCTCTATTTTGAGTCACTGCACTATTTGAATTCACCCAGAGCCCAAACAAAACGTGTAGACTTGAACAAGATGTTTCTCAGAATGTTATCCCAAGGGGGACTTTCATTTGTGAATGTCTGAACTTCAATACTCTGCCACTTTTCCCTCTGGTGTGTTTCAGAACTGTTAACACCCAAGGTAGACACTGGATCTTCCTCTTTATCTAATGAAGACAAAATGGCCATCTTTCTTAACATAGCCATGACTAAGTACCAAGTCTGAGGTGTGTGCAACCTGTGTTCCTGTGGCCAGTCCAACCACCAGATACATTTCTCAAGTTAAAAGGAAAGAAAAAAAGCAAAAAGGTTTAGTTTTGTTTGGCATCGCAGCCACAATAAGACCAACTTTGGAAAAGAATCTTGTTAAAGACATTGTACGAAATTAATCCAGCAAATAATTATTGAGCAATTTAGTAGGTGTTAAGATACCAATCTTGCAGGTGGGGTTCCAGCCTAAACAAAAAGTTTTTCCTTAGAAATTTCCATCTTACTTGGAGAGACAGAGAACAAAGACAAAAACAAGTATATACTATGGAGAAAAATAAGACAGTGTGATAGATCATAGCTAGAAAGGGCCCTTAGGGCACAGGATGAAGTCTCAGTGCACAGGTGTGATAAGGAGCACAGTCCTATTCCAGACTCCGGGGCATAGGCCTAGTTCTGACTTACTGTGCAGCACGATGGTAAGTGGTACACACTATCTCTGTTGTGAATGGCTGTGTCAGGAAGGAGTAGGAAAAGAAGCCGCACCCACAGTTCTGTGTTCCCTGTTCTGAAGACACCTCACACAGTGTGGGCTGTGGAGAGGACCTAATTCCTGGAATCTTCATGAGAAAACAAGAGAGCGCTGTCCCACTCGCCCTTAGCTTATTTATTCTCATTTTGCACAAATCATTTTAGGTCTTGTGTGTGTGTGTGTGTTAGGAATGAGTATTGAACTCTGGACCTCATACATACTAAACACTGACTATACCACTGAGCTATCATCCCATTTTAGGAATTTTAGGAATCTGAAACTAAGTCCTAGGCATCATTTTTAGCATTCTTGAACTTGAAGTAATCTGCATGACCTGGCCAGGGAAGGGCAAAATAGGAATACAGTACAAATACACACACTGTCAGTGCTGGCGTGTGGTGCGGTTTACTTTAGAAAAGATAACCAGGCAGACTTGACACTGCAATGAGCCTTGGCATATCCGTGGGCGAAGGTAGGTATGGAATTCCTGGCCTACAAACAGCAAGTGCAAAAGCTCTTGGGTGTGTTCAAAGGAAAGTGAGGCACCCACATGCCTGCAGAGGCATAGGGAAGCAAGAAAAGTAGATGATGTAAGGCGAGGTTCTGGGAGGCCAGTTATTTATAGTTGGGTCAGGTACTGGAAGAACTCTGGCTTTTATTCTCAATGGTGTGATTCAGATTTAGGAAGGAACGCTATTCTTTTGGAGACTAGACCCTAAGGGCCAAGTATAGAAACAAGACCAGTTACCAGAGTACTGCAATAATCCAAAGAAAAGATGATGGTGTCTTGGACTAGTATTTTAGCAGTAGAGAGCAGGAAGTGATTGAATTCTAGGTAATCTATTTTGAAGACAGAGTGCGCCAAATTTGCTAACAGATTAGGTGAGTGCTTTATGAAAAAGACCATTGTCAGTGGTATAGCACATGGTTAGCATGTATGGTCCAGAGTTCAATACACACAGATGATCCTAAAATGGTTCATGCAAAAAAGAGAACAAACAAGCTCAGAGAGGAAGTGGGACAAGCTTTGCCTCGTTTTCTCACGAAGACTCCTGGTACCAAGGATGACTAAACAATTTTAGACTCAGCAGAGCGGGGTGGGGAGGAAGAGTCCAGATGAGGAAACTGTGGGAAGCTACACGGGGGAAGAAAACCAAAGCTGGCTCTGCGTAACGTCAGATCTGACAATGTGCACTGGACTGGACGGCACGTGGGAGCCTGAAAAGACAGCACCCCACCCTGCAGGCAGAACCAACCACTGGCTCACGGGCTGGACATGCCTGTGTTACAATAAAGGATACATTAAAAAGTACTTTTATTACTTATATACATGAACTGTATTACATAGAGCCCAGACAAGCCAAGTGTCGAACCCATGGTCCACAGGCTGGACATACCTGCAGGGAATTTAAATGAAATGGTAAGCAAATTGCATGAGTTTACTTGAAAGCATACATAATATGCAAGCATACATAATATACTTGAAAGCATACATAAGGGCTTTAATTCTAAAACAATTGGAAACAAGTTGTTCTTAGAGGTTATGATTGTAAATCTAATACTTAACTGCTATATTTTCCCATATTTATCATTTATATTTTATCATTCTCCCCAAAAGATGAGGCTTACACTAAAGATACTGGATACATTTTAAGACATGACCTTCCACAAAGACTTATATACGAGCGTTCATAGCAACTGTCTTCATAACAGCTCCAAACTGCAAACAAAATACCCATACACAGGAGAAATAATGAGGAAATCATGGTATGTGCACAAAAAGAACAACACTCAGCAACTGCAAAGAAACTATTATGGACTCATGCAACAGGGATGAAGGTCCAAACATTCTGAGTGGAGAAAAAAGCCAGGAAAAAAAGATTACACACTGTATGATTCTATTAAAATTAAATTAAAAAACAGAAAACATTAATCTATGATCACAGAAACCAGGAAGCAGTTACAGCAGATGGAGTATTGACAGGAAAGGGAGACAAAAGAATAACATGGATGCATGAAACTCCAAATTCATTGCTCCAAATACTTAAGATATTTTATTACATGTAAATTCTATCTAAAATACACAAGAAAATGTAAGCCAACTAAAGTACTTCAAAACTCACTAAAAAGATATATTCTGCAAAACCTAGACTACAAGCAGTTAATCTAATTAAGCAAAGTTCAGTTTTGAGTCTCCTAGCGACAGAAGCAAAAGGAAAGCAAATAATGCAGTTCCATTACCTACTGTAAGTAGGTATTAAAGAGAAAGTTTTTCTAACACTAAATTTAAGAATACTTACATTTAAGTTACTCATTATTCCACAATGTTTTCATTAGCACTTTTATAAAGGCTGAAGAGATATTTGGGGCTAATTTTTATCAGTTCTTAAGGGAACACAGGAAAATAAAATAAATATTAAATAGTCACTCTCTGACGTCGTTTCTATGGGAAGGTAAGCAAGGTTCCATAGTGTTCCAGAGTATCAGCTAACTGCAGGAGAATATCTAGAAAATCATCTTAGAGGAACAGGGCTCTCAGACTTCCAGGCTTGCTTGCCTTCCTAGATGTGTTGGCAGAGTTTGTAATTAAGGTTGGCTATCAGATAATTGAGGGTTAAAGTGTAATTTTCTCTGGAGTTGATTAAAACCAGGTGTGAGCTTTAGCTACTCGACTAATTATAGCTGTTAAGAAATGTTCTAAAAGCTTGCCATATTCACACCCTAATTGAAAAATCATTTCTGCCTCTACCTAGTCCAGGTGCTTAACAGACCTTTCTCCCTGGGATCCTGAAAACTCTATTCTGAAATCTCCTCATTGACAAATTATGCCGGGCAGTAATACTTTTAAGACATTTAAGATCCAGGCCTAATTTATTAAGTACAAATGCCTTCTTCTGGTCCTTTGATAACAAAAATACCTCATACATTTAAAATTTAGTACTAATGCTTTTTGATAATCATTGGATCTTGAAAGGATGTATCCTTTTGAATACGGAAAAGCATGTAACCCAAAATACTATGCATGATACAGCATGTAAAATATAAACTTGGTTTGAAACCCGTGTAGCTATGTCATCTTTTTCTGTCATATAAAAATTTTAATAAGGATCCCACAGAACACTTTACTGAGAACGGGGCTGTGCTTGCACAAGCCTGCAAGGTTGAAATAAACTCCAAGTAAAACTCTAACCAGGTGGATGAGCTGACCAACTTTAAGTTGATTCATTTCTTCAACAACATTAACTGAATTGCCCATTTGAATGCTTAAGATTGTCTTGCCCAAGAATGACTTGGATTTTTATGAACCTAACCTTTTTTTCTAGCTGCAGTTGACTAAGATGTTACTTCATTCAATGTTACGATTATATCATGTCAGATACTGAAGATACAGCGATAAGCTTTGCTCGTGGCCTAGTGGAGGGTTGAACAGACCCTGCTAAACACGTGGTCAGAAGACAGCTGCAGTGGCCTGTCCGAGGAAACTTAATCTGAGGTCTGAAAGACAAGGAGTGAACACATCTTTTCTCTGTGGAGGGGAAGGAACAGTGAAGGGGAATAAAACTGTCAGGCAGGACTGCTAGCTTATATGAAGTAGAAGAGGTCAGAATACAAACAAAGGGAGAGAAAACACAAGAGGAACAAAAGTTTCAGGCAACACACAAGTCATATTATATAGACTTGAGGCCAACATAGATTTTGAAAGACAAGAGACTTTTTGTGAAATGTTTTATCAGTCAAAATAAAGATAACTATGGAAAAGGTTAGGATGATATACAAGAAGGAATTTTATTCAAAAAATAATTATGAGTGCCAATGACATGCCAGGAGTCCTACTAAGATACTGATGTATGGGTCACGGGTAGAGCACACGGTTAGCTCAGAAGGCCCTGGGTTTGAACACCAGCAGGGCAAAACAAACCACTAACTGGAGCAAGTACTTTGACCAAATAAGCAAGAATGACAAAAAATTTATGCCACAAAGAAATATATTAAAGCAACGAGGTTGGGAGATAGGATAACCTTTCTTACTGGCTCACAAAGGGATTGCCCTGAACAATGGAACTCTGAACTAAATCCTGAAGGCTGAATGGAAGCTAGCTACAGGGTATGGTGGAGAACACACAGAAGTGTTACTCAAGGAATTAAGAACTACATTTACTAAAAAATGGTAAGGCAGCCAGTATGGTAGGGTACAAAGAGCAAAAGGGAGTTTCATCAAGGTACGGCTGGTCTGCTGGGCATGGCGGCACAATCCTGTACGAGGTGGCTAGGGAAGAGTAGCATAAATGTAAGACTGGCCTCGGCAACTTAAGCAACAGAAACCTTTTCTCAAAGTAAGTAAAATACGGTGAGGGAACTGGGGATGTAGCACAGTGTGAAGGCCCTGGAATTCAATCTTCGTTACTACTGAATGTGTATCACAGGAAGTACGGTAATGAGAAAATAAAATTCATAAAAAGTTCTGAAAAGATCCTTACGGTTGTTACCATAAGAACAGACTATAGGGATGCAGGGATAGGTGTGGTGAAGTGGGTTAAGCCATCACTACAAAAACCAGGAAATTATTTTGAATTGGATAACTTGGTGATTGTCCTCCAGAAAATAGAGTTTCTGGCTTGGCTTTCTTAAAGATACTCTCAATTTTGGATAAAATGGTATCATTTGACTAGAAATCATTTGCATCTTGGTTCCTAGGACAAGAACAAGGTTACCTAAAAATTGTGTTAAAAAAATTAGAATCGTTGACAACAGGCGGGGGAATAGTGGCACAGGCCTATAATTCTACTACGTGGGAGTCTGAGACAGAAAGATGGCCACCACGTCTGAGGCCAGCCCTGGCTACACAGTGCACTGAAGGCCAGCCTGGACCACGTAGCACGGCCCCGTCTCAAGGTGTCTCAAAAAAAAAAGAAACCCAATGGTCTCCCGTAGGGTATGATAGGAAGGGAAACATTCACATTTACATTTTACCTTTAACATTTTTATATTTGATCATTTTTACAATGAAAATGTAAATAAAAGTTTAAAAATCAAATATAGAAGCCATATGCAGCATACCTATAATTCCAGCTATTTAAGAGGCTGAAGTAGAAGGGTCACCTAGGACTGAATTTTGAGCTCTTAAGAGCTTACTTCCATCCCTTCTGCTTCTTAGAATTAATCTACAAATGGGATCTGCACCTCACAAATGCATACATAACTAGTATCTGGAAATATTTTAGTTTACTGCTCCAAAATTCAGTAAATACTTTTTTAAAAACTTTCAATTGTTCTTTATTCCAGTAAGATAGAAAGCTAAAATGATCAATGGTCAAAGAGCTGGAACTAAATCATGCTTCTTTCTTAAACAAGTACTATATTAACCACAAAGACCAGAAGAGAAGAGAGCTGGCAATGACCGGACAAGATCTTCAACAACTGGATATTCTACGGGATTTAGAGTATTCCTTTTTCTACATAGATACCCATGTTCTTATCTAAGAAACAGATCCAAAGAATTAAATGTGCAAGGACTGGTGTCCTAAACAGATTAGGATTATTCTGAGTAACCAAGTCTTTGACCGTGTAGTAAACTACTAAAAGTGTGCTTAGAATTTTATAGGTCCAGCCAGCATTAACTTATAACCACATCCAAAAATGGAATCTGGACTTTTCTTTCCAAGTCCATTTGCATTACTGACAGTCTTTGTTTCATTAGGTTCTATATTCTCACTTTTGTTGCAATAACCACTCAGAACATTGTATGCATTTTTCTTTGCATTCCACTTACTGAGAGTAGTGAAACATAAAAAATAAAACTAAAAAAAGATCGGGAAAAACCAAAACTGAGAATATGAGTTAAAATATAAGATCACTGAGCCGGGTGTGGTGGCGCACAACTGTAATCCCAGCACTGGGGGGGCTGAGGCAAGAGGACTGTTGCAAGTTGAACAGCCGCCTAGGGTACAAAGTGAGTTCAAGACCAGCCTAAATTGCACAGCGAGACCCTGTCTCAAAAAAAAAATAAAAAATAAAAATAAAAAATCATTTGCTAATGCAGTGAATTCAAAAAAAGTCAACAACTGTAGAGCTCCATAAAGCACTTTCATACCCACTGCTGTTATTAACCCCCTTTTTAGCCAGATTCTCATTCCTGTTGCCACAAAGTCCTATTATTTTCCCAAGATTTGTATTTTCTGACTTTCATGTAGTTATTTAATCAGCAGCACCAACAGAACATGCTGCAAAGTAGCAGGAATATACCCATTGAAATCCTAACGTGATGACATTAAAAGATAGGGCCTTTGGGAAGTCATAGGGTGGGATCAGTGCCTTTATAAAGGTCCAAGAGGCTGAGTGGGTGGATCAACAGGACAAATGGACATGACTGAAGTATATATTATATGCAGGCATGAAAATACCGCAAGAAACCCAGTTTTTGTAAAATAGGAATACGTACATATATGAATATGTATTTATACCAAGATATCTCTCCAGAGCCTCTTTTATTAAAACACACTTATGTTATTATATAAGATAATGTATATTCTCATATATATCCTATATATATATATATATCCCACATTAATTGTTATCTTCTATTGATACACTGTGGTCCCTCAGTTCATGAACTTAATTCTGTCCATGATTCTGATCTCAACCTGAGAAATGAACTGAATCCAGTTCAATGGATAGGCTCAATGTTGACCTTATGGAGAAATTTGATTCAGTTGCCTAATTTGGGATATATATATATATATATATATATATATATATATATATATATATATATGGAGACCCAGAGACCCAGAGAGACCCACCATGGGTGGGGGGTCACAGAGAACAGATGGTTGTCCATCTGTGAAGCAGGTCCTCAACAAACACTGAATCTCTAGGCACCCTGATCTTGGTTCTTCCAGCATATAGAACCATGAGAAACAAATGTCTGTGAATAAGCCGCTCAGTCTGAACTTCGCTATAGCAGCCCAAATGCAGTCAGAATTGAAAGTCAGCTCAATCTCCCTAGCAACCAGATTCCTTTATATATTTCATTATCTTTTCATCCTTAAGGTGTGGTTTTTCCAAACCATACAAAGAATGTAGACTGTAGCCCCGCATGAGTTCACAGGAAATAGTGTACATCTCAGAGTTCCATAATTCTGGGAGATACCTGAGTGAACAAGCTTGGTCAGAGGGGCATTCTCCTTTCAACTCAAAGTAGGGGAAATTATACTGGTAATAGAAATAAAGTTTGGGCACCATCTTAAACCAATCTGGCCAAATCAATGACTGTAAATCTTCTGACTAAGTATTAAGTATTTTACTAAAATGATACCAAAAAAATCTTACCAAATTCTAATGAAACAAGTGTTATAGTAAGGCATGAATATGGTCTTGGAAACTTGGAGCCTGCCTAAAACTGGACTTTTTTGAAAGCAAGGAAACTCCTATAGTGAGAAGCCAGTGAGAAGATGGGGTTGTCAGCACCATTCATGCCATTAATGTGGTATTTTAATCAACAGGAACACAGAAACATCTTATTCCAAAATACAAACCTTCAATAGTAGCCCAGACTATTGAATGAAGATGGAATATTAAAGGCTAGGGACCTGGGTCAATAGTAGAGCACACGCCCAGCATCTGCAAGGCTCTGGATCCAATGCCCAGCATTACAGAGGAAAAAAAACTATACGAGGTCCTCCTTTATCTGGCCCCATGCACTTTACATTTTATAGTACCACTGACTCGCCTAAATGTTTCTAAAATGCTTAGACGGGTTTGGTCCTGTTCTTCTCTCCCTCAGTACTGATCACAATGCATTGGTGGATGATTCACCAGTCTCTCTTATTAGATTGTAAATCTCCTCAAAGGCAGTTGTTTCTCCTCTGCAGATGATGTATCTTCAATACTTAATATTATGTACTGGGCATATAAAGAATGCTGAATGAGTACAGTACTCCTAAATGCTTGCAGGTCCCTGAAAAAAAGTCATAAAAATTTTTACCCCTGAACATCTACCTAGCTGGCCCAAAGCTCTGACAATATTACTGCAATGAAACATATAGCAAAGAGCAAAGAGTTGGTTTCCAGACTAGATCCTTTATCAGTTTTTGAAACTTTAAAGCTCTGACCTTTCATTTGAAGTAAGAATTAAAATTTTTTGTCTCAGGAATTCACAGTGAAATTACTCTCAGGTATTTTGAACAGTGGTGGATTATGAATTACTTTAGATAGGAAACCACCTTACCAATATAAAAATCACTACTGCAACTTGCCAGGCATAATGGTGCATGCCTGTATTCCCAGCTAGTCAGGTGAGGTGAAGAGGATCACATAAGGCATTGTGCAACACAGTGAATTCTCATCTCAAAAACAAACAGGAATCACTAACTTAGCAGGGCATGGTGAGGCATGCCTATAACCCCAAAACTCAGGAGGCTGAGGCAGGACGATCACTGTGAGTTTGGGACCCAGTTTGAGCTACACAGTGAGACCTTATCTCAAAACAAAACAGAACAAATCACTTTCACTCAAAATACTCCATTTGTAAGAAAGATATTCTCAGAAAAAGAAGTATTTTACATTCCTTGGAAACTTTAGGGTTATTAATAGCCTATTACCCAAAAACCAAAAAACCTAAACAAAAATAAAGCTACAGCATTTTACCTTAACTAGCATTACTAATGTTATTCTAGTAGTATCCATAAAGAATATGGTTTAGTGTTAATGACTCATTTTATTTAAAAAAAAAGTCTATGACCTTATCCACTAAATTATCTTAAGATATGAAAACCAAATTACTCTTTGGCTTTATTACATGATAAAAACAACACACAGTCTAGTCAAACAACTTTGTGATATTTATATTCCATTGCACAGATATAGGTTATACAAATTAGTAACACAATTTTGTAAATTCCAAACATGTTCTAAAATATCATTACAGGAGATGCCTAGGATATTGAAACATCAAAGTAGAAATTATACTCTAAATAGTTAAATGAACAATGAAAATACTGCACATCTTAATTAAAGGAAAAAGATGTGTGCTTAGATGCTCTAATAAACTAGGTAGCAGGGCAACTAACACTACAAATAAGTCACTGTGGTCCATTTTAATATATGCACATATATGATTATTCTTTATATAACTCCTCCTCTTGAAAATGCACAATTAAACATAAATCCAGATAAATGACTTAAAGAAATTCTAATTTTTCCTAATACTTAAAATTATGGTGAAGTGGACTATTATTTATGACTTCATACACTTAATAAAGTAGACTATAAAAGACACCACACTTAGAAAGAAGGAAACATTTTTAAAGATAATGGTTTTAATTGAATTAATGAGATGAAAAGATAGTGAGGCCCTGTTTGCTACTTACATGAAAGAATTTTAAAAATAATCACTGCACAAAATACAAAGGGTGGGGTTATGCGCGGTGGCATTAAATTTCTCCTCCATGTTTTTCTGGACTGTTCAAGAGCAAATTACAGTTTCCACGGCAAATTTATTTTCAAAATGCCGAATTGTGATACAATCGCTGGCTTCACGTTTCTGAATACCTGTTTGGCAGGAAAAAGGTTTTTAATTTTTGGTGCTTTTGCAACAAATATTCACATTAATCTTTACTTATTTTTCAGATATACTGAAGCATTTCACACTATATTGCATAAATTTCTAGTGTTTTGTGTACACTGGAGAAAATATTTTTTCTTTTTTGGAACTATGTATTTTCAGATCATAGCAACAGTAACAACGCCTTTCAGACAGCTTACAAATTTATAAACTTGAAGGTAATGGAAATGTTCTGCTTCTTGATTATGGTGGTGTTTGTATGACCATGTGTGAATTTGTGGAATTCAAAACTTGTATTAATAAGGGCAAATTTCACTGTAGGTATCAATTTGACTAAACAAATTATGATCTAAATTTTCTTAAATCTAAGGAAGTAAGCTGTAGGTTTCAGATGCTTCATTAGCTCAAAGTGAAAGGCTATTTATTATTAAAAGTGCTACTATTAAAAAGCCAGGGGAAAAAAAGCCAGGAAAGTATTTTTACTAGATGACATGATCACAATGAAATCACAGTACAATGTCTTTTTAATGGCACTTCTTAACTTTTTACACCTTTGCCAAATGTACTTTCATTTTATTTTTATAATGGAAGGGAAATGGGACATATTGGTATCCTTATTTTTCAGGTGTAAAAACAAGGGTTAAGTGACTTTACAAAGCTACAAATTAGTTGTATTAATGTTCATAATTCTTTATATCTAGATTCTTTTCTTAGTAACCTATTTATCCTCAGTGGGATTCAAAAGGCAAACAGCCTGCTTAGAATTTAGATCTCAGAATACAAGTGAAGAGCTGGTTAAGAGACCTGGATAGTAAGACCCACTCAGTACCGCTGAGCTAGAGGGGGAACGGAAAATCAGACAGGGTAGCTATATGAAAGATTTTGCAGCAATGACATTTCACCCTGGTCCTTCTCATTCTCAGAAAATAAATTTAGAATTAAAATGATTCAATGAAACTTCACAGCAAGTATAGATATATGTACAATGACTAAGTTTTGTCTAAATCATTTAACACAACAAAATGACAAAATCAACTTTTCTGTCAGCATTTTAACACTAAAATGCATTACCTTTAATAGTTTCTCTGCGTTGCAATTTGTAAGTTTCCTTGTCATGACACAGTCGATAAATAAAGAAACCCAGGCGATCGATATTTTTAATTCGATCAGTAATAACCATGTGTTCATGAATCAGGTATGACTGAGGCAAATAAGTTCCAGCCTACATTTAGAAAATAAATTTGAATATCTCAAAATATACATTCCACAAACTAGAAAAACACAAAATTCTTAGATATCACATGAGTAAACAGAGATCAACCTGCCATTTCTATACAACTTTTTTTTTAAGACAGGGCCTATCTTTCCCAGACTGGCTTTTAGTTCCTAAATTCAAGTAATCTCCTGGCCTAGGTGCACACCATTGTATTGCTGGAATATCGTTGTGCTCATTTATTTGCATACTGCCTATGGTATTAGACTTAAGCAGCTGGTTAACATTTATTCTATGGTCCTTTAGAAAAACTTAAAACACAATGTAACAAATATTTTAATTTCAAAATAAAAAAAAATTTTTTTTAATTGCAAGTCTTTATTCTTTTTCTATAAAATCCTTGGCTATATTCTGTTAAAATGGGCTTTAAAGAGCTAATTTCGCAACAGGAAATTCCCAGACACTAACAGTCAAAACATTAGTCAAAAACAGTAATAATTTTTATACCTTAATGTTAATGAGTAATTCCAACAGGTTTCTGGGAGGCATAACAATGGAAGTATTCAGCGGGATCACGTAGCACTTATCCAGGTTAAGATCTAAATAGGCTGTGAGTTTCTGGGGGGAAAAATGGATATATTTTAGTTAGATCAGTATCTTTAAAATGGGCAGCAACTGAATTTTAAATAATTAGTACCATTAAAACAGGCTGGCTTCAGAATGCATAAACCACTTGCTTCAACAAATCAAGATTTCAGTAGAACAGGAATGAGGGAGGAAAAATAATTGCTAGTAAATGTAATCCTTATCAGGAATTTGTTTTTGTAAGTAATAACACTACTTATTAAAATTAACTGCAGTGCCAGATGTGGTGGTACACATCTGTAACCTCGGTACTTGGGAGACGGAGGCAGGAGGATCACAAGTTTGAGGCCAGCCTGCGCTATAAAAAGTGAATTCAAGGCTGGCCTACACTGCATAGTGAAACCCTGTCTCAAAAAACAAATAAATAAATAAACAAACTGCAAAGGCCTATCAGCTGATGCGTTTATTAGTTCCTTCACTTATAATCCCAAATACCCCCACACAAAGCATCTACATATTGCTAATATAAACATTGTTGTCTCACTTGAATATTTAAAAATAGTGCCATCCTTAAAAAGCAAGGGAAGTTCTTTAATGATTTTTGTCTTCTGTAGTTTAGATGAACATAGCAACTGAGAAAGATGTCTGATAGGATAGTTTTAAGATCTAAGTTAAACCAAGACATGTAAACACATTGGTAAGAGCTCAGTGAGTTAACCAGTATTATTTACTATTTGCTTAGGGTAAAAGTTACTACCTTGAAGCAGTTTTGAAAACTGGTCTACAAACATATATATCAGGTCTATTTAAAAGGCATAAAATGTTTCCAAAGCTAAATTCAGGGAGTGTCCCAAACAGCAAGCCTACATTAAGACATAAAAACAAAGGTGAATAAAATTTTTGAACCTCTGAATCCTCGTTTCAGAAATAATTGTTGAGAAAAAATACTGGAGAAATAAAAGCATAAACTGGATATTAAATAATACTACATTATTGTTAATTTCCTTAGGTGTGACGATCATGTGATTAAGTGAAACAGCATCCTCACTCCTAATAACAAATGTTTAGGGCTAAGTGGCAAATGAGAGAAAAACACATATGGCAAAAGGTCTGGGCCAGGTGAAAGATTTGGGTTGCTTTAACTCCTCTAGACTACGTAAAATTTGGAAAACTGGGAGAAAATGAAGAATGAGAACTTATAAATAAGTTCACAAATCATTCATTTTGGAGACTAATACCAAGAAATGGGAACATACACGATCTCTTATCTAAGAAAATGTGAAAATAAGCAATAATAAGAACTTGCTAGTAAAGGCAGAAAGTCATAAAGCAGGCTTTCAGAACAGGCAAGGCCAAGGGATTTAAAAAAAAAAAACAAACAAAAAACCAAGATGTGAAAAAGAGGTCTGTTTCAGATAAAGCGGAGCCATCAAGTACTATTTTGGAAAGCGGAGAAACCCAAGTGCATTTTTAAAGTAAAAACTAAGCCCTAAATAGAATAATTTAGCAAGTACTGTTTAACCTACAAAATATGTAAAGTAAAGAACTTGTATTCGTGCCTATGATTATAGTTTTTACAATTTTGGACAACTGGCCCACCTTGTTAAAATCATGGACAATGTTGGCAGGATCACTATCTGCAAAATCTGGGACAGGTACGCTGATGAATTCAACTTCCTCTTCTTTAAAGATCTTAATATTTTCTTCAATGGTCTGGTAACGAGCAGCTGGGACATCAGCAGACGGCTCATTCAAGATGACATCATCTTTGATGTACTTTATTCCACAGTAGTACACGTCATCTGGCTATAGAGAATTTAAACACTCATTTCAGCAATTCAGTGTGAGACAGGTTTTTAAATGTAAGCATTACTTAAGTTGCCACCTCGATTTAAGTAGCATGTTGCTTGCAAACTCTTACTTTTAGATGACAAGCCAGACAGCTTAATTACAGAGCTAGCACATTCTTTAAGATCAGGTTTTGAAGTATTCTAAAAAAAAAAAAAAAAGACAACTCTGGAAGGAGAAAAGCAGCTGATTCTGATTTTCCCTTTTCTTTTGTGGTAGATAAAAACAGAACATAAAAGTAATTATCCACCTGGTGGCAAGTACCTCTGAACAAACACACAGGCCTACTCTACATGTAGGCATTGCTTTTCATAAAAGAATATATTCAGAAACAAGCAGTATTTTTCGGAAAAAAATAGTTTTAAAACTGAATTTTTTTCTGTATTGTATGTATCTTTTACAAAAAATTATATAAGAGAATATTACCAGT